CAAAAGCCTAGTATTTTTCATTCTCCCTTTAATAGTAAAGACACAAATTTAAGAGGTCAAGAATATATATAATATACATATTTAAATATGTATTTATATATATAAATAAGTATATATAAACACATATAATAAGTATATATTTAAACTAGGGAGATATGAATAGTGACTGGATATTTGATGATACTGTCATTTTTTAGGCATGATAGTGGTATTGTGGTTATGTTAACTTTCTAAAAGGTCCTTATCTTTCAGAGACAAATAATGAAGTACTTGCAGATGAAATAATATGATATATGGGACTTAACTAAAAAATCCTCTGAGCAGGAGCAGAATAGATGACACAAGATTGGTCATGTGCTGATAACTTGAAAATCTGGATGATGACAGTTCGTTCTGGCTTTACGTAAGGTGCAAGCTTCCATAATCACAGTATTTTTTACACTTTTTCAGTGGCTTCCTATCCCATTTTGCATGGCTTCTATGACCCTTCATGACCTTGCCCTCTGCATCCTGGTCTCCTACCATTTTCCAGCAGGTTCCTCCACTCTAGCTACATGCCTTCCTCACTTCTCTGCACCTGCTGTCAAGCGTGCTTCAGTCACAGGCCTTTCTACTTGCTATTCCCTCTCCCTGACAAAAGTCTTCCCTCAGGTCTTTGCACAGCTTAATTTGGTTCTTTGCTCAATGCTGCCTCTTATAGAAGTCTTCCCTGATCCTTCTACTGAAAAGAAACAGGAGCCCATCACTCTCTATTCTCTATCATGCCAATATTTGACATTAAATTACACAGCTGCTCATTATTTACGAGGAACATAAGCTCCATGAAGGCCAAAGCTTGTTTTCTTCTCCAATGGATCCTGGCTCATACAAGTAGGCCTGGCACAGAGTGAATGAAAGAATATTACTCATTTTTAATATCTTTATTTGGGTACTAAACTATCAAGAGTTCTTCATAAAGAGAATTTCCAACATTCTCATTAGCCTTATTATGAAATGATATTTATCACATGAGAATGCTAAAAAAGTAGTCACATAGACTCACTGAGGATATGAAATTAAATGGAGAGAAACAAGAAGTTAACATCTAATACATTCATGGCACAAAAAGATACTTGAGCCCTTTTCATATGCTCTTGCTTTTATTATCTGTAGGCCATCCTCAAGTTGAAGAAATCTGCTTATATTTTCTTGAGATTAACTTTTACTTACTTATGTTACTCAACAAATATTTACCACATGCTTATTTGTCAGGCATTGTGCTAGGCACCTCGATGACAGGGGCGACCCAGACAGGCTTAGGGAAGGCTAATTCCATGCAGGAAGAAGACAAAATCTCTATCATAATGTTTGCCAACCAAAATTGTTACCTGTGGAAAATTTTATGGTGTCCACAATTTAATTAAAAATGATGGCCATATAGTTCATTATCATTGTACATTTAGATAACATAAAATATGGTAGCATTTTCTAGTCTTCCTGGACCGCAATTGTTAAATTACATGGTAACAAAACAAGAAAACTATTTTAACCACAAGTTATATATTTCCTTAAAACATAACTGAGCAATAAAATTATTCTTCAAACCACCATGGTCATTTCCATATGACAATTCTATAGTAAACAGATGCTTTCTTAAATCCGAGAAAATACATAGTTTTGCTTTCCTACAAAAGCCTAGTATTTTTCATTCTGCCTTTAATAGTAAAGATACAAATTTAAGAGGTCAAGAAAAGTGCCAGGCTCCAGAATTTTATAGTGTCATGATAACACTGACTTCTATTTCTACCACATTGACATACACTAGGATTATTAGGTTAATAACATATCCAATCATTTTTTAAAATGTCTCTGTGACAAGAAGAGATAAGGAAAGCCAAAGTGAATCTGCTGCACCTGTTATCTGAGCACTTGGCATTCTTAACAAGTTAAATCCCCAGGAAGCCATATTAAAAGATGACAGGAAAAAAATGTAAATTACATTATCATCTTTGACATACTAATATACATGGGTGCTGAAAATCCAATTGAAAGGGTACTGACTTATTAAGCTGTGGCATGCTGCAATTTACATATCTCACCCTCCAGATGTGAGGAGGGTAAATGAGAATGGAGTGTGCTCAGATCAGCAGGGGATAAGGAAGAAAAAATACATACGTACATTGGCTATCAATTTAGCCAACTGAAGAAAAAGTGACAGAGTGAAAAGACTGACTTCTATTTTTCCTAAAATAAATCTGAGTCCTCTGCTACATTCTGGAGCAGCACTAAAGGCAGCATGGGTAATCCTAGCTGGTCATTCTGTGCACGGCTCTAATGGCTTTCCAACAGTGAGTGAATGCAGATGACCGAACGGCTGGAAGAAACCGAGGGTGGGGCCCTGCTGTGGTGCAAGGATAACAGGATCTCTGCAGGAAAAGGGGACCAAAACTAGCAGCAGGCGCTTCCCCAAATTCTCACCATCCAAGACAGTCAGCAGAAGGAGAAATCACTGTGTTCTAGAGAAACATATTCTGTAAATTTTATTATAGCTTAGAGTCCAAATCCAACACAAAATCTTAAGGTACCTGAAGTTGAATACTTAAATTTCTCATAGGCAACCAGTATTCTCACTCTGTGTCTCCTCATACATGCATGTAGCCTTTGAGAACTTTCAAATCCTTAGAAGAAACAGCAAAACAACTTACAACTTAATTTTTTTAAATTATAGGTTTCCCAATAGACAGGCAGTGTTGGTGAAAGGTTAAGAGGGAATAAAAAAGCAAGGAGTAGATAAGCAGCCATAAAATACAGCAAAGTAATAACCCTCAATAGGAATGTTAACATTTCATATTTATATAATAAACACAACATACCTAAGATACATTTCAATTATTTATTTGCTATACACATAGGCAGTAATAAAGTCTTTCACTTCGTTTTTAGCATTTGATTAGGGAAAGTTTTAAACATACACAAAGAAAACAAATGAGTATAACAAATCCCATGTACCCACGGCCCAGATTCGACAAATATTAACATTCTGCCATTCTGGCTTCCTCTATACCTCCATCTAACCCCCTTTTCCTCCTTCCACTGTTATTATTTGATAGTTTTTAAGGTAAATTTTAGATATATTAGAAAGCATAAGTATTAAAAGTATAAGTTTAACAAATGAATTAACCTACATACCCCACACACTTATCACAATATAGAATATTACATCTCCTAAGAAAGTTCCATGTGTCCATTTCTCAGCCAGGCTACCTACAGGTAGAACAACAGTTATCCAACTGAAGACATATTTTCTCCAGCACAGGAAAAAAATTAAGGAAATCCAAGTCCGCAAAACCAGCAAGCCTTATATTTCTATATTTCAAGCTGCACAAAGGCTTCTAATCATCTTCCTACTGAAATGACAGTGTAGGAATTTCATAACCAAACTCAATCCAAATACCATTCTCTTCACAGACAGTATTCAGATTCAGACACTCCAGGAAAGGGGGGGAAAAAAACAGAAAAATATGACTTTGATAACATGTAACAACAACAGTAACGTCAACCCCCCACCACCATCACCACTACTTCTGGAGCTATTTATCTTTTCATTTATTTCAATAGTACCACAAGCAAAATTACAGGTCCAGAAGCACAACCCGAGAAATAAATAATAATACCACAAAGTGGCAAAATAATAACAGTAGCATTATTCTAAGAGAATTTCTAACCACTCACTACAGTGATACATGCCTGGCAGACCACATTATATTCTCTATCCCTGCTCTCCAGAAAAGTAACAGCAGCAATAGTAACAAGACACTAGTCATGGCATTAACAGCAGCTGACTTGTATTAGTGATGAAGACGCAAGGATTCAAAGCTAGTACTTTCTGTCTCTATCATGCTTTTTTGATTCTAACCCTAATGGCGCAAAACAGATAAGCACACACACCATTAACACCATATATAACCTGACATTTTGTTATGTTTATTTGAGTCTTGTTTTTCATCCTGACTCCTTCGATTATGCTGGTAAAACTCCTTTCCTCCTCCTCACAAGTCCCTACTTTGGCCCACAGAGAAGAAAGCTCAATTTACAGTTTTGCACTCCCGGAAAAGGGCTAGGGAGGAAGCCTCCATTCTCAGTCCCCCATAACTGGTCCTTCCTTCCAGGAGGAAGTGGAATTTCTATAACTTAGAAGGGCTTCAGAATGGACTGGCTTCCCCACATCTGGAATGGTGCTGCAGGGAAAGGCCTCTTTTCAAACTCAGGCTCTTTTTAGCAGCCTAGGTGCAGACAGGGCTAAGCATATCAGGCTGGTCTCTGCTCTCAGCTCGAGATGCTCCATTCAAGCGTGGGTGGAGCTATCCACATGTCAGCCCTTCAGGGCCACTTATCTACCAGTCACTGGCGTGGAGGACACCCTGTCCAGGCCTCAGGTACTGGCCACATTCTTTGCCATTAATGAGACTGATACTGTGATCAATATTTGGATCTTGGGTCTCTTTCCTGAACTAGTTAGAATCCAGGGAGGAGGGATGCAACTAACTACAATCCCAAACTTCCAAGAAGCCATAATCTTTATGCTTTGCCTCAGATCACCGTATCTGGACCACACCTGTTCCTTTTTGGTGACCCTGTGGCTGACAGTCAAATATAAATATTCTGAGGTAGGGGAGGGGGTTGGCAGAGCACCCAGAAATTTTACCCTTCTTTATACCCTGGCTGCTGACAGCTTGTGTAAGCCCTCAGCTATGGTTGATGATTCTTCCCTCATTCTCAGGGGTGGACTGTCCCCTTCTCTCAGCCATCCTGACCACCACTCTAACCACCATCACCAGCATCACCACTAATATATCAACACCAACAACACCACCCTCAACGACAACACCGCCGCCACCAACACCATCAGCCACATGACTACCAACACCACAACCAATACCACTAACAGCACCATTACCAACGCATCCAAGAATGTTCAGAATTGCAAACTGCTAGCGGCAAGTATTCAACTACTTTCTTACCTTGTTCTCCTCCGGAGTGAAGAGGACTCGGAATGTGGATGGCACTCCTGGAGCTACTTTGTGGCCAATGTCTTTGGGGCTGATTACTTTAAAGTATGGTGAACTTTCTTCAACAACTTTCACCATCCTTGGAATCTGCAAGAAACACACCATGATGGTCACTCTGCCTGTGGAAAAGCAGAAGCAAAAGCACAGGCTTTGGAGTCCACCAGGAAATCTCCATCTACTACTTATCAGCTTCGACCTAGATCAAGGTTAACTTCTGTCTCCTTAATTGTGAGAAGAGATGACTCATTCAGTGCATTTGAGCTTTAATTTTTTAAAATTATTATTCACTTTTATCATTACTGCAAGCCTTTGTTCATTTTATCATTTAAATGTGACATGTTAGCCTAAGTGTCCATCAACGGATGTGGATCAAGAAGATGTGGTTTATCTATACCATGGAATACTACATGGCAATGAGAAACAATGAAATCTGGCCATGTGTAGCAACATGGACGGACCTTGAGGGTGTTATGCTTAGCGAAATAAGTCAGGCAGAGAAGGACAAATATCATATGTTTGCACGTATAGAAGGATTAGGAGGAACTTAACTGAGGACCATGGGGGAGAAGAAGGGAGGAAATGGTGGGGGAAAGGGAGAGAGGCAAACCATGAGAGACTCTTGAATGGTGAGAAACAAACTGAGGACTGATGGATGTGGGGGGTAGGGGGGAGATGGGCATGGAGGAGGGCATTTTTGGGGATGAGCACTGGGTGTTATATGGAAACCAATTTGACAATAAACTATTTGTAAAAAAAATAAATAAATGTGACATCTTAGAAGGGGCACTGCTTGATCAGGTAAAACCCCACCCATAAGGTAGATATCAGCTGTATTTCTGCTCATTTAAGAACTGCTCTGGGAGAAGGAATCACACTTACTGCTCTCCTGCTATGGACCATCCACCGTACATGATGAGCTGCTTAATCCTCTCAATAACCTCGGAGCTTCATTATGACCTCCATTCTACAGGTGGGGAACAAGACACTCATCCTTGGTGCTATAGCTTTGCCCTGTCCCAGCTTCACTCCACCTTCCCTCTTGGGACTATCCTAAGTAGATACCACTGTGCACAAGAACATACAGCAAGCAGCACAGGGTTCCCAGGCCAGTGTCAGAGTGGCTTCAGACAATTCCATTCTCTTCAAGTCCTCCTCTGTTCTGCTTGCCTTGCCCGGAGCACACATCTCTGTTTATCTAAGACAGTCTAAGCGATAAAGGAAATAACAAACGTTAAGGAGAACCTAGAGGTTCTAGGAACACAAGAAAAGGGAAAAGACTTTTTTTTTCAGACTCTGAAGGGAGCAAAAGAAAGTGAATACAGTTAAGTATGAATGAGAAGTCTCAGGGAAAAAATGAGAACAAAAGAACCCCCACGACCTCTCAAAACTGAAATCCAGATGGGCAAGGGAAGAAGAAATGCAGAGAGATCAAATTTAAGGCTAATCTTAAGACTAGACAGCGGGGAGGCAGGGAAGAGATGTGTGCAAATCTGATAGGAGCTCAACGGGCATGGCTGGTAGGGGGAATGTGCAGTGTCATTTACAATGTGCAGAATGATACTACATAAGCTTTCTGGGAATAATTTTGGTAAGAGCATAATTATGGATTAAAAAACTAGAAAGGAAAACACCAACAACTCTAGAAATAATAACAATAATATTGGTTTAGTGCTTCCTATGTGACAGGTGCTGAGCTGAATACTTTAAAAGCATTACTTCATTTAATATTCCAAACAACCTACTGAAATGGGTGCTATTAGTATCCTCATGGCCCAGAGAAGTGAAGTGACTTACCCAAGGTCTGCAGAGAGACAGATGAGTTTGAAACTAGGGTCTGGGTGCTAATAATTATACCCCAAGTACAGTTGTGCTCTGGCTTGTACAGTGCTCATAACTTACTCTCATCTTGTGTGTGAGAAAGATAGAGAAATAATGACCAAATGGGCTCTGTAGTTTATATTCAATGCCACTGAGGAAGCAAATAAATAGTGAATAGCACAGAAATTCTATCCCAGCAGTTTTTTACAAGTCCATGAACTAAGGAAGCAGAGAAGCAGGCTTATATTAGCTACCTAGTACAAAGGTCCTGAGAGTCACTCACCCATGAACAAACCTGCCTAGCCTAGAGAAATCTATCTGCTTTGAGTAGCTGGACTTTCCCTGGAGGGGAACCCTCCTTTCACGAGGTCCATCAGTGCAGCAGCATCTACGCAAGAGGTGTTGGGTTACCCATGAGAAGTGAGTGCCGTCGGGCAGACAAAACTGACACATGCCCTATACCCCTTTACTTGCTCATGTATACCCGCTGGGAATCATAGCTTGTTTAGGGCTAAGGAGTGACCAAAGTACCCTTGGGCCAGCTCCTCTCTGTCTTTAATAGCCTTAAAATACCTGAGCAAGAGTCAAAAAGTCATGGTGTGAGGGAAAAAGAGAACTGGAAGTGACAAAGTGACTTGGTTGGCAGCTCTACATGAAAAGAGAGAGCCCTACTGTGTATGTAATGTATCTCTTCTTAAGGTCTAGGGGCTTAATCCTGAGCATCTCATATTCTCTTTCTTCTCTCTGACTACCCTTTTAACTTCTGTCCCTTGAGCTTCACTTGCTAACATTCCTGCCGCCAAAAGCTAAATTTACCATTTTCTCCAGAGTCTGACTTTGCTGTCACTAAATCACCCCATTGATCTCTGAAAGGCATCACTGATTCCTTTAATGAGCTACTGTACCAAATATAGCTGCAAGTATTCTTGCATAGTCTTCATTTATTTTTTTATTTTCTCTTACAGCTAGGCTTTTTGTCTCTACACTCTTAAACTCCTGAGGTATTCCTACCTGCCTTTACATCTGAAGTTTAGTAACTATTCGATGCCTTCCTCCCCATCTGGCTACTTTTCACACTTTAGCTGTGCTTTATGCTGAACTCCCACATTATTCTTTCTTCCATTATTGTTAGATGTCCAGGAAATCTTCAGGAACTTAACACCTTTTTCTTGAAGTATAGCCTAATTTATCTCTTGGGGGAAAAAGGCATATGGATGGAGAAGAGACTCAATGGCAACCACAAAAGGACAAGGTATAGACATTGGGAGAAGCAGTCCAAAACTATCTGTAGACAAAATCTAAAGGCTATCTGAGGTAGAAGGGAAGAGATAGAAAAAGGGGAAAGGGAACTTCATTTTTTTGAAGTTTTTTAAAAATACAATTTGTAAAGTATAAACAATTTGGCTCAACAACCTCAATTCATATCAGAAGAGCCTATACCCTTACTTGAGAAATGGTGGCTCTAAGTGCAGAGTATGTAAGCATGAATAGTAATCGCCCTGTCTTAAGTGAAAAATTAGTTGAAGCAGTCATACATAAGAACTTCATGACATTTACCTAACCAATATTTTACTCAACAAAATGTTACCGTGCATGTTTGGAGTTGACTATTTGGTGGGCACTGACCTGGGCCTGAACATGTATGAACACACCAACCAACACAGTCTTGTCTTCATTAAGTTTACAGTCAAAGGGCATGTTTTCATCTATTTTCTTAGGTCTCTCAAATTAGAGAATTCATCTAAGATCCTACAGGATTCCATTTTATTTAATCCCTTTATATATTCCATGAAAGGTACATTCAGCAAGCATACTCACTTTGTCATTGTTTCTCAAAACCAATGGAACTTCATAGACTTCACAAGGAGTATAGTTCTGAAATACAATTTCTGATGGAAAAGGCTGGAATAATGCCTGATCCAGGTCAATTCCTGAAAACTGCATCAAAAAGAAAAATATTCAGTATATAGTCATACAGTGGAAGAAATGACTGGGGAAGATATGAAAATACTACATAGACCTATGGATATTAATACTAAAAACATAGGAAACACTCAGAAATGGATAACTACTATAAACAATAATTGTTATAAGTAGTAAAGTTACTGTGATCAACTTGTTTAATACAAAACAAAGTAGATTTTGTCCTCAGTTAAAAAATATATACACTAATTAGAACACCAACCCAAAACTTATTTGAACCAATCTTCCCATTAAAATAACAAGAAAAACTGTATCAACAAATATCTGCTTAGAGGCACTGAAGAACTAACAAGACAGTCTGATATAATGTTGAAATTATGAATTACCTCAAACTATTAGCTTGTGTAGTATCCAACAGGTTTTGAGTACTGCCATGTTTCCTTAAAATTTTAGAATATCCCATGATGCCCTGTGAGCTTATAGTTGCACCCTGGGGCACCTTAAGTATACGTTGGAAAGTAAAGATGTAAGCATCCACCTCAATAATTAAGAAAAGCAATAGCAAACATGAAAACAAGAACAAAATCCAAACAAATGAAAAAGCAACATAACAAAAACAACAGCAAAAATTAATGAAATAGAAAGTAACCATATTACAGAATCAAGAAAGCCAAAAGTTGAATCTTTGAAAAGACTCATAAATTGATAAAATACCTAATGAGCACAATCAAGAAATTAAGACAAAAGGCACAATAAGCCAATATAAAGAATGAAAATAGGGACATTACAATAGAAACTGAACTATGTAAAAAATAACAAATGGATAGTATGTCAATAAATGGGAAAATATTCATTAAAAAGTACAAATCCTAAGAAAATACAACTTTCAAAACTAGCACCAAAACATAGAAAATATGAGTAGTTCTGTAACTATTAGATAAATTAAAACTGTAAGTAAAAGCGTTTTCATAGAGAAAACTCCAGCCCAAATAACTTTACAAGCAAATTCTAGCAAACATTTAAAGACACAAATCAAATATTATAGAAACTCTCCTAAAAGAAAGAAAAAAATTAACGTCTTCCAACTTGATGATATTAGTTAGCATAACTTTCATATAACTAAGAAAGATGGTGGGAAAAAGGAAAACTATAGGCTAACCTTACTTATAAATGATTAGAGGTTTTTTAAAGGAACAAAACATTAGCACAGTGAAACTCACAATATATAAAAAGAATAAAACATCATGATCAAATTGGGTTTATCTCAGAAATTCAAAGCTGTTTTAACAGAAGCTCATTAAGAATAAACAAAATTGTCATTTTCCCCAGAAGAAAAAAATGCTTATTTAGAAAATTCAAAGTAACTTTTAAACTATTAGAAATTAGTATTAATAAGTTATTTATCTGGGCAGAAGACATGAACAAACACTTCTCCAAAGAGGACATCCAGATGGCCAACAGACACATGAAATGATGCTCAGCATTCCTCATCATCAGGGAAATGCAAATCAAAGCCACACTGAGATCCTACCTCACGCCGGTCAGAGTGGCTAAAATGAGCAAATCAGAGAACTCTAGATGCTGGCGAGGATGTGGAGAAATGGGCACCCTCCTACACTGTTGGTGAGAATGTAAACTCGTGCAGCCCCTCTGGAAAACAGTGCAGAGGTTCCTCAAAAAATTAACAGTAGGACTCCCCTATGACCCAGCAGTAGCACTGCTAGGAATTTACCCAAGGGATACAGGAGTGCTGATGCATAGGGGCACATGTACCCCAATGTTCATAGCAGCACTCTCAACAATAACCAAAACATGGAAAGAGCCTAAGTGTCCATCAACGGACGAATGAATCAAGAAGATGTGGTTTATCTATACAATGAAATACTACATGCCAATGAGAAAAAATGAAATCCGGCCATTTGTACCAATGTGGATGGAACTTGAGGGTGTTATGCTGAGTGAAATAAGTCAGGCAGAGAAGGACAGATACCATATGTTTGCACATATAGGTGGACTAGGAGGAACTTAGCGGAGGGCCATGGGGGAGAAGAAGGGGAAAAAAAGTTGGGGAGAGAGAGGGAGGCAAACCATGAGATACTCCTGAATACTGAGAACAAACTGAGGGCTGATGGGGGTGAGGGAGAGGGGAAGGGGGGAGATGGGCATGGAGGAGGGTACTTGTGGGATGAGCACTGGGTGTTATATGGAAACCAACTTGACAATGAACTATGAAAAAAAGAGAAAAAACAGAATGGGAGGTGTGGGGGAAATGGGGAGATGTTGGTTAAAGGGTGCAAAGTTTCAATTATAGAGGATGAGTAGGTTTTGGAGATCTAATCTCAGGGTGGTGATAACAGTTAATACTGTATTGTATCTTTTGGAAATTTTCTAAAAAATAAAAAAATAAAGCAAGTCCTTCCAGAATAATGGAATCTTACATAGTTCTAAGGGATACAGCATGTAGACATGGTAATGATAAAACCTGACTTCTTCTTAACCTCTCAGAAGCCCCTGGAACAATTCAAGTATGTATTAGGACCTGGAGCTAATACATCAAACATTAGTCCCTCAGTGTTGACTGAATAAATGCTAACTGAATATATAGTTCGAGTGAAGATTTAAAAATCTGGTGAAAGTCTTTTATATATGTATATAAAATATTTTAAAGTAAGGCCAGTCATTAGAAAGGGAAATTGCTGCCGTCCTTAATAAAAAGGGAAAGGAAAATGTCAAGTTTCCTTTGCCGTCTTAGACCCTACTGAAATATTTTACATATTTCATAAAGTCCATTTTGGTTATTTTCCTTCTAAATATTTCTCTGTTCTGGATTAACTTAACTTTTTATAATCATTGTGTGCTTAAGAATCAAATGTCCTATAAAAATGAACTAAGGTGGGGGCATCTGCATGGCTTAGTGGTTGAGCATCCGACCTGGGCTCAGGTCATGATCTCACAGTTCATGGGTTCTAGCCCTGCGTTGGGCTCTGTGCTGACAGCTCAGAGCCTGTAACCTACTTCAGATTCTGTGTCCCCCCCCCCCCCGCCGCCCCTCCCCCACGTGCACATGCACACTCTCTTTCAAAAATAAATAAACATTACACAAATTTTTTTTGAAAAATAAAAGACCTGTAGCAACATAAAATCACAAATGCAAAATTACATTCTCTAACCTGTCTGACAAAGTGTCAGTTTCAATCATTTTGTTCTGGTGGTTTCAGAAAAGGTTTAGTATCCTCCTGTGTCCCTTGATGTTAATTATTTTCTCTATACCCATAGTTTCGTCAGTTTTTCTGAAGGTATCTCAAGGTACTATTTTTAGTCTCATCATAGTTTAATATAATTTAAAAATATGCAAGATTGTTATTTCTGTTAAGAGTTCAAAAGTTTATGTATTGGGTACACAGATATAGTAAAACTTCACTGATTCAGATTTTAAGAAGTAATTATCATTCTAATGTAGATTATATGGACGCTAACCTGTGTTTACTAGAAGTTAGTAGTGTAAAGGTGTTTGTTGGAAATATTTAAACTATCTCAGAAAGGGGCAATAAAGAGCCCCCTATTTATTTGTACACAGTGCTGCTAGTCACAAACTATTCACTCTTACAGGGGCCCAGCAGGCTTTCTGTGGAGTATAATAAAAGTTTGAGAGGTTAGAATGTTTTAAAACCTGAGTTATAGGAAGAATCTATAAGGAGGGCCCTTGATTAATACTGTATTTCAATTGGTCTTAAGTAACATTTTCAAATATTTTGAAATGTTAACTTGCAGCATCATTTTTGTTAACCGAATATGGTGTCTTACAGAAAGAGTCTGATTTTTCTTTGAAAAACATTTTGACATTTAAACTTCGACTCTAAAAGCAGCAAGTAGTATTTCTCCCAAAGGATGATTGCCTGTAATTTACTGCAGAAATTTTTAAGATTAAATTGATGTTTTCAGATCCTAAATTAAGAGAGATACATGACCAATAAAAAAAAATGAAGTTGCCGTCTTCCTCAAACCCCACGTGATTTGGGACGTTATCACCTGATGTGTGTGTGAATTTTGTACAGTGGTCTCATAGGGAGGAATACAGTGCCATGATCCTGAGATCCTGTCAAAATGAGATCCATTTCAAAAAATGGGTATAGAGTTTTTGAAAAAATGATTTCAAAAATCATGTTGGATCAGGAGCACTTCTCTCCAGTCCCAGCTTTGAGTCTGTACTATTTCTGCTTCTTAGCTAACAGTTAACCAAAAGTTGCCACCTTGTCAATGCTAGACTCCTAGAGGGTCGCCGCTGACTGGCCCCAAGTCTGTCACCTGCCCTTTGAGAAGTCTACCTTCTCACTGGAACAAATGGATGGAAGGCTGTGATTTCTTTTATTTTTTTCTTTCTTCCTTCCTTCCTTTCTTCCTCCCCTCCCCTCCCCTCCCCTCCCCTTCCCTCCCCTCCCTTCCCCTCNTGCTGACTGCCAGCTCAGAGCCTGGAGCCTGTTTCAGTCTGTGACTCCCTCTCTCTCTGACCCTCCCCTGCTCATGCTGTCTCTCTCTCTCTCTCTCTCTCCTAGAAATAAATAAAATGTTAAAAAAAAAAATTAAAAAAAAAAACAACCCTCCTAGCACACAAAGAAAAACAGGTCCTCAATATGACAAAGACTATCTAAATCTTCACAAAGAAAACAATAACATTATACTTAATGGTAACATGTCGGATTTTTTTTCTTACTTTAGGAAACAAGACAGGGATACCTTTGATCATAACTTTTACTCAGGATTCTATTAAAACTAGTAGTAAATTCAGAGAAGCAGGTGAAATATATTAAAAAAAAATTAAGATTAAAAGGAACCTTAAAAGCATACTGCTGAGAAAAGCCAATCAGAAAAGGATACATACTGTATGATTCAGATATATGACATTCTGGAAAAGGTACAAAAATAAAGACAACAAAAAGATAAGTGATTATCAATGGTTCAGGGGGAGGAGGGAAAGATGGCTACTTGAGCACATGATTTTTAGGGCAGGGAAACTATTCTGTATGGTACAGTTATAACAGATCTATGTCATTACACATCTGTCAAAAGCTATTATAGAATATATGGATGTACAATTAATCCCAGTGTAAACTACAGACTTTAGTTAATAAAAATGTATCAATACTGGCTCATCAATTGTAAAAAAAAAATACTACACTAATATAAGATATAAACAATAGGGACAAAACCACCAACTCATTGTCTGGAATAATCAGAAGGGCAACAAGAAATCCCGTGGACGTCATCTAGCACCAGGAAATAGGAGGGAAGGCTGGGTTGATTTGGGCTATACATAAATCTGCATATTTATAGGAAGCAGCTAGTCACTGAGACAGGCTAGAAGATAAAAACTGAATCAGAAGGGCCCCTACAAGTCACAACTCTGGGGAGAAGGAAAGGCTAACACAACTCAGTTATTTTTCCTTCCTTCTTCTCAGCCCCTTCCAAATAAACACAGCATATAATCCTCTTTCATAAAATGCTGCAGAGAATCGTGGAGGATTCCTGCTGGTCTGGGACCCTGCCAGGCCCTGCCTCAACAGTAAATGCCAACAACAGCAAGTCCAGGAAAAATGTCCTTCTTTCTTTTGAAAATGAGTGGTAATAATAACAATAATAACAATAATCAAGATCTATATAAAAATTCAAGAACAAACGGAATAAGAAAATGGCAAATGAAGAATAGTTAACAGAAAAGTTGCCACGAAGCAATGAAAATATTAACTACATCATTTCACTATAAACTCAAAAATTAACATAATGGAAAAAAATCTGAGAGCACAAAGCAAATAATTAAGAGTGCAGGGAGGAAAAAAAGCGATCAAAGAGATGAAAAATTCATGTGTTCACTCAATAAATACTGAGTTTCCAATATTTTTCATATGTTAAGCATAGAGTAGTGAACAAAGCTGACATTCTTGGGGGAAATGGATTAAAAAAAATAAAGAAATATATAATATGAGGTCAGGCAGTGATATGCTATGAAGGATACTAAAGTAGGACAAGGAGAAAGGGTGAATGCAGGATCTATGCTCTTTTCAATAGGTAGTCAAGGGATGACCTCTCTGAGAAAAAGACATCCAAGTAGAGATCTGAAGCAAATCATGCAAAGATCTGAGAGAATAACATTCCAATTAGAAGGAATAGCAAGTGCAAAGGCCCTGGGGTGGGAATTATCTTTGAGTGTTCAAACAGCAGCTGATGGATATAGCACAGCTAGAAGACAATGAAAGGGAAGAGTGGAAGAAAACGAGGACTATGAGGGAAGTAGGCAGGATAAGATGATACAGGGTCCTATAACTCTGAGGGCAATAGGAAGCTTTGGGATGGTTTTAGATACGGAAATAACATATTCTAGTTTACATTTTAAAAAAAGCATTCTTCTTAGTGCAGAATTGATGACAGGGCAATGAGATGGAAACAGGGATACTATTTCAGTAGTCTAGAGGATGGTGGCTTGAAATGGGAGGGTGGTGGTGGTGAGAAGTAGTTTGATTAAACACGTATTTGTGAAAGCAGAGTTTATAGCATTTGTCATTGGACCTCATATAAGATGCAAGAAAAAAGAGGAATCTGAGATAACTCCAAGGTAGACTTCTGGCCTAAAGAAATAGATAAATGTGGTACTATATACTGGTGGGAGGGGCCTGAAGAAAAAATGGGGGTACTATATACTAGAGGGAGGAGACCAAAAAGAAGAGATCATGTCTTCAGGGAGGGAACATAACAGAAACATTAGATCTTAGATATTTTAAGTTTTTGCTGCCAATCATTCATTGGGCTGAATATGTGATTCAGAGTTCAGAGGATAGGCCATTGCAGGACAAATAATTATGAAAGTAATCATTTAAAAAGTAGAACTTAAAGCCTTATTCTTAGAAAGAGTCATCTAAAGAATGAGTTGAGAAGAGAAAGAAGTTGAAGGACCAAGTATGGGGGAGCAGAATACTTGTTGTAAAAGCACATTTAATGATCAGGAAGAGTAGCGCTATCCAAAAAAATAATACAAGACAAAAAACAGCCAGTGAAGTTGGAAGAAACCAAAGAAGTATGATATCTGAGCTACAGTGAATAAAAAGGTATAAAAAAGAAATGCTGGGGGCGCCTGGTGGCTCAGTCAATTAAGCATCCAACTTCGGCTCAGGTCATGATCTCACAGGTGAGTTTGAGCCCGGCATCGGGCTCTGTGCTGGCAGCTACCTCAGAGCCTGGAGCCTGTCTTTGGATTCTGTATCTCCCTCTCTCTCTGACCCTCCCCTGATCATGCTGTCTTTCTCTCTCTCAAAAATAAAGAAAACATTAAAAAAAAGAAAGAAAGAAAGAAAGAAAGAGATGCTGAGTCAAATGCTGTGAGAGAACCCAGAAGCCCCAAACTAATCAAGCTGAAGGATGAATTACAAAAGAAACACACATACACAAAACTCAAAGTAAGGGACACAGAGGATAGCATATCAATATAAAAACAATGAAATGTAAATGAACAGAAAATTAAAGACAGATGAGAGAGGAAATACAAGATATAGAAAGGAAGATAAAGAAGGTGCAACATGTTCATAATTGATATTCCTAAAAAAAAAAAAGAACCAAAAATGGCAAGAACAAACACTGGGTAATTCAAGAAAAACTTTCTAGATGTAAACTAAAGATACATAGTATCTCAAGAAAAGTTTATTCACACCATAATACAATCACTGGATATTAAATTAGAAACAATCTTTGGGCACATGAGCTAAAAGATTCAAGTCTCTATAAATCAAGCTGGCTTCATCACACCTCTGCATACCATTATGTATCTTATTTCTGCTTACCATTAAAGCCAGAAGGTGAGGAAAATGCCCACAAAGCTCTTATGGGGAATATATGTGAGCCAAGAAGGCAAATCTGAAGTTCAGCATAAAGGCAACACACAAATATTGTCAAACATATAAAACCAAGGAAGTATAGTGTCCATAAGCTCTTCTTAAAAGTATTAGTAGGGGATGACTGTCACCCAACTAAGAACAAATGAAATCCAGAAAATAAAGTAAAAAACAACCAACTGAGTTGAAAGAAGAAAGAGGAAAAATGGTGAGATACAGTATACTAATTTCCTCATCCTTCATAGCAGGGTTCAAAATATGTTAAAACACACACAAGCAGTACACACAGGAATATACGCACAGTCTGGTCTCAGTCATGCTATGGGAAACGAGCAATGATGAATTAGCACTGGGAAAAGCCTTGTTCACTGCCCTCAAAGGTAGAGGGTGCTGGCAGAGAAGAGAAGAAACAATAACTAATGCTAGCGGTGCTCAGAAGAGCAGATTTTGTGCAGATCCCAAACAGGGGAGGCAATGGTGTCACAACAAGAGCAAATGAGTCTCAGGGACTCGTTCATCAGGGGAAAGATCTCTGAAAATCTCTCAGGAATAATCCAGGAAGCCTTTGAGAGGAGGCTAATCTCCAGCAGTTCAACTCATGGAGGTTCATCCCAGAAATGATAACTATTAGTAACTGTTGTTCTAGAATGTTCACATTATTCCAGGACTTGCTTCATAGATAACCGTGACAGAAAGTAGCTACCTTTTGATGTGTTGTTTCCCCCATATCTAAAAGTTCGATGATCTGTGGTCGGCACATCAAACGTGTCTTAGCCAGTCTCTGCTCCGTGGTGAGCGACATTTCCTTCAGGAACTCCGAGGGTGTCAGCTAGAATTTAAAACAAAACAGCTGAAGATTCATAAATGGTTATACTGAAAAAGTGTTTCCATGAGTGCCAATAATGAATAATTTGTGTTTGCAACTTTCAGGATAATTCTGGAATGACACTAAGTTCCCTTATAAAATATTTAAATTAACTAAATAATACAAGAGAAGAACCTGTGCACTTTTGAGCACTTTGCATGGTAATTTGAAATGACATGTAGTTGCTGTTTCCTTGTCATTTTGAAGACATCACACAAAAGAAACTGGGAGCTGGGAGGGGAGTCAAGAAATTGCACAGGAACATGTCCAAAGAGCTTAACATTTATGCTCAGAAGGAGCATCTGAACACACAACCCTGTTTCCAAAATCACTTCTTCAAGTCTTCAGAGCTAAGGAATTTGAAATGCTTCTATTTCTCAACTCAAAGTTACAACAAATGTGCAAAGCTTTTGGGTGTTTTCACTATCCTGCTGTATCAGGTTAAAGAGGAATCTTGTGAAATGAGGAGGTTCTAGGAAGTATGACTGCACAGCTTAGAAATGAGTTTGAACTTTTAAGAAATCACAAGAGTGCATTTAGACCTTGTTTTAAAAGAGCATGAAGTCCATCCATCCTCAGAACCAGCAGCCAGTCATAATCACACACCCAAACAGGAACACAAAATGCTTTAACACTTTCTAATGTTATGAAGAAAAAAATGTAACCTATCATTTAAATAAAAATTATTTAAATAACCCAACAAGGCTTAGTTACCCAGGACCGAACACCATTATCTACTTATTGTTGTTCTGGAATGTTCCAAGGCTTACTTGCAAGTGGGGATGATGATCACTGACAGCAACATAATGCTTCAGTATATATCAAGACTTTTTAAAATATTCAGAAGTTATATAATTTAGTTGATTGATTTCACCCTGGGTTAAAATCACTGCTCTTCAAAATCCATACAAAATTAAATTCTGTGATTGAATCCATTTAAATGAAGGCATATTTCTAATACAGCTTCCAACTTCATCTTCAAGGTTCTTTTTGATTGGAATCCAGGTTAGAATACTAAAATGTTAGGAAGTTTCAGCTGTGTTGCAGTTTAAATAAAAATAATAAAATCTTAAAAGCAAATTGGAGTTACTTTGAATACAAAACTCTAACATCACAAAATAGACTGATGATAGGTTTCATTTTTCTAATCAGAACATAATTTGAGACTAGTTTTTTAAATACAGTGAATACCATTTCAAACCCTGTACAATGTTCTTGATATTCTCTATAGCATGAGTTCATAATCCAGTTCTCATCAAATTATTATAACTCATTAAAACTAGAAATATATTTTATTTTAAAAGACAGGGAAATAGGTATTTTTCTTTGGTATCATATAGTCATTATTTTGATACTCTATGTTCTACAAATATGCAAACAGAAATAACTCTTGCCAATCAACACGTAATAAATTATTTAAGTTAAACCCTATGAAATTCTGATATCTGATTGTTTTGAACTACACAGTCTCATAGGGTTCAACCTAATGTTTAGAAAAACATAATAATTTGATTGCGTAGTCTTACTTAAACTGATTAACTTAAGCAATTCAAGCCTCTGCTTTGAGGTACCTGATTTCAAAAACTTCCCTGGCTCTAAGAGGTGCCTGTGCTGTGCAGCATAGCTAAATTGACATCATCAGTCAGTAATTCTCCATGTGATTTCTGAGAATGCCAAGTAGCAGCTGTCATCCTCCTGAGGAGGCTGTGTTAGGTATGTTACACAGAAAGTCTTGGGGCGCCTGGGTGGCTTAGTTGGTTAAGCATCCGACTTTCGCTTAGGTCATGATCTCACGGTTCGTGGGTTCAAGCCCCGCGTCAGGCTCTGTGCTGACTGCCAGCTCAGTGCCTGGAGCCTGTTTCAGAGTCTGTGTCTCCCTCTCTCTCTGACCCTCCCCTGCTCACACTGTCTCTCTCTCTCTCTCTCCTGGAAATAAATAAGAACATTAAAAAAAAAAATTAAGAAAGTCTTGGATACATTACCATTCGATTTACTTCTTCTTTTGTAACCACCTTTGGATTCAAGGGTGGCAAAACCTTGCTTTGGAACCCTTTCAGCATTCTGACTAACCCCATCTGAACAGCCCCCATGGACTCCTCGAGTCTTCTACTCGCCATCTTTAGTTCTTTCTTTCATTCACCTAGGAATAAAAATTTAAAAAGCTTTAGAGCAAATAACAGTTAATTCCTGAATACAGGCCCCAATTTTTTAAAGCTTTTTTAAATACAAAAGCTTTGGGAAAAAACTAATATTCAAAAATACACCGAATTCTTGCAACAAATCCCTTAACTAAAGGAGTCTATTCTATGTAATTAATCCAGATTTAGCCTTATCCCAGGGTCTAGGGTTCCTTTTAGACAAACCAAGTGATTCTGGAGTGGCTCAGGGAAGACAAGGAAATATAAGCAGCTCCTTACATTCTGGTACTTTTATCCTCCAAGATAAACAAATAAGCACTGCTCAATAAATAACACTTCATAGCTTGCTAGTTTATAGTCTTATTTGGCAATTCTCTCTCATGACACTCTCCAAACAGAAAAACACATCAGGCTTTAGGCCTTCACAGCTGGGCAGAGACTAAAAGAGCAACATGAGATGAGATAAGGATGAGGAAGTTTCTGGAGAATTTTTGAAGTTTTTAGTCATTAGTAAGTAATTAAACAGCTACCCCACATCTCTAAATCAAAAAGATAGGACATTTCCCATCCACAAATTCTTCCTTATGCCTTCTAGGAGAACACTTGCAACTGTGGAGGCCCATTTATGACTACATGGGGATTTATACTTTCTGTAATAGCACACTAGTTTATCCAACCCTGTGCAAACAACAACAACAGCAAAAACACCTAAAAATGCCTGATACCATGTCAAATTAAAAAACCATAAAAATCATTAGAAAACTCACAAGACAATAAGTCATTACCAGACTAAAATAGTGAAGAAAGAAGTACATACAGAAAAATAGATTTGAGTGAAAAATTTAATAAGGTACACTGAACTAAAGCAGCAAAACACCCAAGGAAATTTTAGAACGGGGGGAAAAGTCAGAGAACAAAAGTTTGAAATAGTAGACAGTCCAAAAAAAGATCCAGGGCACCTGTGTGACTCAGTCAGTTAAGTGTTCAGCTTTTTCAGCTCAGGTCATGATCTCACTGTTCATGGTTTAAAGCCCCATGTTGGGCTCTGTGCTGATGGTTCAGAGCCTGGAGCCTACTTCAGATTCTGTGTCTCCCTCACTCTCTGCGTCTCCCCTGTTAGCACTCTGTATCTCTCTCTCAAAAATGAATAAAACATTTTTTTAAAAATTTTAAAAAGAAGACCCAACACACTATAATTGGAGCCTATGAAGAAGAAAAATTACTGGGGTGGAACTAATATTTAAAACTATCATCCAAGAAAAATTTCCAGAAATAAAAGAAAACATAATGAAAAGGGACTTCTAGTTACTCGGGAAAACAGACCCAGAATGGTCAACTCTGAGTCATATGGGCTTTTTTTTTTAAAGTTTATTTATTTATTTTAAAAGAGATAGAGTCAGAGTGGGGGGAGGATCAGAGAAAGAGAAGTCCCAAGAAGGCTCCATGATGTCAGCACAGAGTCCATGCAGGTATAGAACTCATGAAACAATGAGATCATGACCTGAGCCAAAATCAAGAGTCAGACGCTTGGCCAACTGAGCCACCCAGGTGGTCCAACTCTGAGCCACATCACAACAGAACTATTAGACCTTAGAGAATTTAAAAAGTCCTCAGATCCTCTGGGCAAAAAGGTAAAGTAACTTATAGGGGCAAGAGAATTAGATGTCATTGGACCTTGATTTTTCAACTATGCTTTTGCAATCTGTGAAATGACAAAATAGAGGAGCGACATTTTCTTTCTTCTTTTTTTTTTTTTACAAATAGTTTATTGTCAAATTAGTTTCCACATAACACTCAGTGCT